GGTCCAGGGGCGGGAGCGCGGCGGCGGCGGCGGTCCGAGGTCCGAGGCCTGCGGCCTAGGCCTCAGCGCGGCGGCGGGCTCGAGTGCGGCGCGGAACCGGCCTGAGGGCCGTACGCGGCGGCACCATGAGCGTGGAGGCGTACGGGCCCAGCTCGCAGACGCTCACCTTCCTGGACACCGAGGAGGCCGAGCTGCTCGGCGCCGACACGCAGGGCTCGGAGTTCGAGTTCACCGACTTCACCATCCCCAGCCAGACGCAGACGCCCCCCGGCGGCCCCGGCGGCGGCGCAGGGGGCCCGGTCGGCGTGGGCGCGGGCGCCGCGGCCGGACAGCTCGACGCGCAGGTGAGCGGCACATGGCGGCGCCGGAAGCCCAGACGGGCCTCTCCTCGGCGGCCGGAGACTTGCCGGGCTAATGCGCCCCGGGTCCCGCTCTCCGGCCGGGTCCGGAGTAACCTGGCTCGGGATCTCACTCAGGACTTGCCGGGAGGAACCTGCCCGGGTTCCCGCTCTGAGTCCCGCTCTGGTTGCGTCCGGGTCATCTGCTCAGGATCTAGTTCAGGCTGGGTCTTAGGTGACCTGCCCCAAGTCCTCTTCCGGGCCTGTCCGGGGTGACCTGCCCTAGCACTGATTCCGGCCAGGTCGGGGGTGATCTGCCCCCCAGTACCCCTCCACCTGGGTCCGTGCCCTGCTCAAGGCGGCTCCGGGGGTATCTGCCCCGGTCCCTCCTCTGGCCAGTCCCGCCGCCCTGCCCTACTACCTGCCTGTGGTCGCAGCCATCTGGGCACCCCCCCAGTCATGCCCACTGAGCAGCTGGTTCAAATTTCCCCGGGCCCAGGGACGCTGGCGAGGGTGACGGTCGATGCTCCTGGAACAGAAACGGAATTTCTGCCTCCAGTCGAGAGCCCCACGCTCGTTGGCTATTAAGATTATTGAAGAGGCAGGTTGGGTTTTTTTTTTTCCTTCTTGCATTGCCTGTTGCTGAAACTGACCTGTTACGTAACTGCACAGCCCTGCCTTGGAAAAGTTGGGTTTGAGTTTGTTCCTCCAATGGGGCAGTGATAGTGAGTTTTACATAAATGGGTCTGCCACGTCAGAAACTTTTGTTTTTAATGATATGGACGTTTGGCAAAGCCTACTTGGGTGTTTTAAATTTGAGTTTGGTTATGAGAAGTATCAGGCGTACATTTCGGTGACCTGGGTCCCTGCCCCAGGATGGGAGAGGGGGCTGGCTGGGGTCCCAGGGAATGTTGCTGTCATTCTCTGGATCTCAGATTACGTTTACCAAATTTCCCTGTGCCCAGCACCTCCCTCAGGTTTATTTTCCTGAATTCTCAACCAGGGAGGAGCTAAGAGGCTCACCTTGTCACAGGTGTCCTTTGCTCTGAGGACCCACTGCCAGGGCTGGGGAGCCACCCATCCTCAGCAGGAATGAGCTCAGATCCTGTCCTTGGGGGAGGGGGCTTACATTCTAGTTGGTTGAGTCACTCCAGTGGGTAGACCACCCACTTCTTTCTTTTAGCCCTTAATACAAGCAGAAAACATTTGACTCATTCTAACCCCAGATTCCTTAAAAATAGAAGTCCAATGGGTGGAGCATTGGGGAGAACAGGTGTACAAGTATGTATGTTTCTCAGTTTTGTTTACATATGGTGGAGGGAGGTAGGAGAGGGGAGTTTGCATGGAGAAATGAAGGAGCCGCTGGAGGCTGCTGCTAACGCCTGTAGTTTCAAGCTTTGTAGACCCCTCTGTTTCCATAGCTGTGAAATGAAGGTAGCAGCTATGTTTTTGTTACTTTTCAACATTCATGAAATCTGGACTCGTGTATGAATGGACCAGATAGTGCTGCCTGTAACTTGTGGCCAGCATACCCGGAAGGCTGAGGATAAAGATCTCTTGGTAGAACAGTGTGCCATGCTCTGTGGCAGTTCAGGGTTGTGAAAGGTAGTCGTTTTACTGCAAATCTTTTTTTAACTGCAGCCAATATAAAACAGCAAACCTGGGGCAGCTCTGAGTTCTAGGTTTGTTCCTTGCCATCTGTTTGCGATTAATTGTGAGGCTTGTCCTTCTCTTTCAGTTGAAGTAATCAATTTATTTTCCTGCACCTGAACACTGTACAAAATAATAGCATTAAAACGCTCCACTGAAGGTAAACCTTGCAGTTGATCTCATTTGAGTTCTGATGACATCAAAAGGGTCTGTCCGTCCTTCCTTTTAATGAACCCTAAGGATCCACCCACCTATAGCCTAACTTTTGATTTGTATTTGGGGAAGGGAAGTGATATCCTTTGTGTCACAAGAGGAGGCCCTGAATTTGGGGATAGGAAAGTCTGAATAGAATCACAAAGTGGAAAAAAGTTAATTATCTCCTGTGCCAGTTGGTGGCATTGGCTGCCTACAGCATTTGGGAGGATTTTCCTTATTTGTCCTCAGGAGTTGGCTGTATAACCAGCTATACGATGGGGCTTCCAGAAAGACTCAAAAAACCTCCCATTGTGAATGCCTTTTCATTCCGTCTTATTGGATGAGTGGCTGTGAATTGTCAACTGCTGTGTGGTCTCTTTTGTTTCACAGCTTTATTGAGATAGAATTCACATACCATATGATGCACCCGTTTCGAGTGTCCAATTCAGTGGCTTTTAGTACATTCAGAGGTATGCCACCACCAGCACAATCAATTTTAGGACATTTTCGTCACCCTAGAAAGAAACCCTGCAACCCTCAGCCCGTCAATCCTCCCTTCTTCAACCCCAGGCCACCACTAATCTTTCTGGATTTACCTACTCTGAACGTTTCATATGGATGGAATCATACAATATGTAATCTTTTGTGTCTGGCTTCTGTCACTGAGCATATCTTCAAGGTTTGTCCATGGTGTAGCAGTATCTGTTCTGTTCCTTTTTATGGCAGAATAATAGTCCACAGCATGGACAGACCACATTGTGTTTATCCACTCCTCTGTTGGTAGACATTTGGGTTGTTTCCACTTTGAACTGTTATGAGTAGTGCTGCTCTGACCATTGGTGAACAAGTTTCTGTGTGGATATATGTCCTCAGTGGAATTGCTGGGTCATGTGGTAGCTGCATAGCCCTTTCAGGAGCTGCCAGACTCGTTTCCAGCATGCAGCCACTTTTGCTGTCAGTCCTGACTGCCAGTTTTGCATGGTTAGTTTTACCTGAAAGTTTGTTTAGAGGCAGAAGGAGTGTCACGGCAGGGGTGGGAGAATGGCAGCCGGGGTGACTCCTGCTGAGCTCTGAGTTGGGTCAAATAACACTCATTTTGTTGCTAGTGAAATGAAACTGATATTTATCAAAGCCCTCGAAATGAAAAGCGTTGGCACAGTCCTGCCAAGTGTCCTTAAGATAAAGCAACAGTTTTCTTTTGATTATCTGACCCTTTCCCGGGCCCTTCCTCCACCCCTCAAAAGGCAGGGAAAGGTAATTTCAAAAGTCCTTTGAATAATAGCTGGTGTTACAAACCTGGTCTGCCCAGTTGGAATATTTCTTCTTAACTTTTGCTATTGTTGTGTTTCCTCCAAACATTGGAATTATAGTGAAAATCTAAGAGTTGGGAACACTACTCCCAGAAAGGGAAGAAACTGTTGATACGCACAACAATGCTGATGCATCTCAAGATGATTGCACTGAGTGAAAGAAGCACTCTGACAAAAAAGATTATATACTCTATGATTCTGTTCATATAAAACTCGAGAAAGTGTTGCTAACCTAGAGTAATAGCAGCTCAGTGGTTGGGGGGAGGGCAGCGAGGGAGGGAGGACTGACAGAGGGCACGAGGAGCCTCGGGGTGCTGGATGTGCTCAGTTGATCTTGATTGTGGTGATGGCTTCACGGATGTGTATGTACATTGACATATGTCATTTTATAAAATTATACACTTGAAGCATACACTGTTTATTGTACGTCAATTATACCTCAGTGAAACTGTTAAAAGAAAAAGCCACATGGAGATACCACTACCCACCCATTGGAGTGGCTCAATTTGTTTTTAAAAAGGCTGGAAATACCTCTTGAACTCCCTTGCCTTGCTGGTGGAATGGTTCGTTTGCCCAGACCCCTGTAGCCCTGCAGAGAAGCAAAGGTGGTCCACGTGTGGGGCTGCTCCGAGTGTTACAGCAGCTTCATTCACAGGAAACAACCAGTCTGTTTCCCAGACTGGAAACAACCCAGTGGCCGTCGCCAGGTGGACGGATAAACAAAGGCTCATCTCCAGTTGTAGTCGTGTGTGCGTGACCTTGGGCCTCTTTTTCCTCTTCAAGTGGTGAGATACTTGGATCAAGAGTTGCTACCTAGTCTTCAGAACCACAGTCCTGGCTGCCTTCAGAATTCGTGGAAGGCTGTCCTGACATATCCTTGACTGTCAGGTAGACAGATCATCTGCTTACTGACCCTTAGCTTGTGAGGAGGAGGAGTGAGTTCCACACAGTCCCGGGGATGAAAGTGGTGAGTTTAAAATGTGAGTGGGCCTTTTTCCATCTGGTTTTGTGAGTGCTTGGTTAGGACGGCTGTGACGGAAGTGCACCTCGAGAAAATTGGAGCTAAGGCGCTGCACACCTGCCGGAGCTCTGGCGAGTGTTCGCCCAGTGTTTGCCCCATATTGGATTTCCCGGGTTTGGTTCCAGATGGTTAGGACTCTACCAGTGATTAGGAGAAAGAGAGGAGGGCTCACATGTCAGTTAGTGGTGAATAAGTGAAATGACTTCTAACTCACTGAACCCCAGTTAATCTCTTTACTCTGATCCAGCATGACTGGGAGAAAAGTTAACACTAATACCAGGATTAACTAAAAGACAGAGTTCTTTCTCAATCCAGTTCCCACAACCAAAAAAAAAGAGACACCTTTCTAATGGCTTTATTGAGGTATGATCATATACCATGGAGTCCTCTTGTTTTTAAGTGTGCAATTTAGTGTTTTTTTGTAAATTGACGGAGCTGTGCAGCCATCACAACAGTCACTGTCTGTCTTCGATTTCTCTTTCACTCTGCCTCTTCTTTCCTTTCCTGCTTCAGTTTTCCTCCTGCTAATCTTTGTAGTCATCAACAGCTCTAACGTAGGGAAATTGGGGCTTGGTGTGGAGGGACAGTGGTTGCGGCCAAGGGCCGGTGTGCCATGCCAGGGGCTTGGGCTGTATCTTGGAGGCTTGTGAAGCAACTGAGGGGTGCCCTGACCGCACCTGAGAGGAAAGGCCCTTAGACGGTGGGGAGACTTGGCTGAGTGTGGCTGAGGCCAGAAGGAGAGCTCAGGCAGAGGGCAGTGTGATCGGGTGTGTGCCCTCTTGTGTGTGTACATGTGTACGTGTACTACCAGAGTACCAGGGCACTGCCAG